GAAGTCAAAACCGAATCGGCCGTGTTAAAGCGAACAATAGCTAAATTGTGCCCGCTTCCAATAAACAATAATTTAGGTATTAATGTTATTCATATCCTAATGATGGACAGTTATTAATTTAAAGTTTCTTGAACTTGATATTTCATTTTATTTACAGAGCTTAGGTACAAGCCACTGTTTCAATGCATAGAGAGGAACAGCCTTTTTTTTTTAGGAATGTTCACCCTTAGATATCAATCCCCGTAAGTATTTTTTGTGGTAATTTAAATATATTTTTACCAAAGCTGGGCAGTATTCGATTTTGTAAATACTTTTTAGTATTCAAATCCTTTAAAGTATTCAAATACTTGTAATTAAATATTTTTATGGAAGCAGTATTTGTATTTGTAACTCAAATACTTTCACAAATATTTAGTATTCGAATACTTCGCAAAGTATTTGAATACTTTGAGAAGTATTCGAATACTTCGCATAGTATTTGAATAGTCATTTTTTTAACCAAAAATCGACTACACCAAAATTTCTCGGGAAAACACTTCTTCTTATTAATTTGGGTGCGTAGAATCCAAATCAATTCGTACTTTTTCGATCAGACTTCTCAATCAAAAGTTATAGACTAGAAAAAAAAAAAAATTCAAAGGGCTGTAACTTTTGAACTAGTAGCCCAATCTTGGAACTGTTTGAAATTATGGATTCTACAGGCCACATTCTATAAGGAAATCTTTTTTCCGGGTCGATCTGAGACAATTTTTCTTCGGGGCTCAAAAAAATGCAGTGTATAACCTTCCTTTTTTACCAAAATTCGACTACACCAAAATTTCTCGGGAAAACACTTTTTCTTATTAATTTGGGTGCGTAGAATCCAAATCAATTCGTACTTTTTCAATCAGACTTCTCAATCAAACGTTATAGACTAGAAACCAATTTCGAAAAAAAATTCAAAGGGCTGTAACTTTTGAACTAGTAGCCCAATCTTGGAACTGTTTGAAATTATGGATTCTACAGGCCACATTCTATAAGAAAATTTTTTTTCCGGGTCGATCTGAGACAATTTTTTTTTCGGGGCTCAAAAAAAGGCAGTGTATAACCTTCCTTTTTTACCAAAAATCGACTACACCAAAATTTCTCGGGAAAACACTTTTTCTTATTAATTTGGGTGCGTAGAATCCAAATCAATTCGTACTTTTTCGATCAGACTTCTCAATCAAAAGTTATAGACTAGAAACCAATTTCGAAAAAAAATTCAAAGGGCTGTAACTTTTGAACTAGTAGCCCAATCTTGGAACTGTTTGAAATTATGGATTCTACAGGCCACATTCTATAAGAAAATTTTTTTTTCGGGTCGATCTGAGACAATTTTTTTTTCGGGGCTCAAAAAAAGGCAGTGTATAACCTTCCTTTTTTACCAAAAATCGACTACACCAAAATTTCTCGGGAAAACACTTTTTCTTATTAATTTTGGTGCGTAGAATCCAAAACAATTCGTACTTTTTCGATCAGACTTCTCAATCAAAAGTTATAGACTAGAAAACCAATTTCGAAAGAAAATTCAAAGGGCTGTAACTTTTGAACTAGTAGCCCAATCTTGGAACTGTTTGAAATTATGGATTCTACAGGCCAGATTCTATAAGAAATTTTTTTTTCCGGGTCGATCTGAGACAATTTTTTTTGCGGGCCTCAAAAAAATGCAGTGTAGGTACCTTCCTTTTTTACCAAAAATCGACTACACCAAAATTTCTCGGGAAAACACTTTTTCTTATTAATTTTGGTGTGTAGAATCCAAAACAATTCGTACTTTTTCAATCAGACTTCTCAATCAAAAGTTATAGACTAGAAACCAATTTCGAAAGAAAATTCAAAGGGCTGTATCTTTTGAACTAGTAGCCCAATCTTGGAACTGTTGGAAATTATGGATTCTACAGGCCACATTCTATAAGAAATTTTTTACTTTTATTAAGTAAGTAATTTTTTACTTTAAATACTTTTGAAGGTATTCGAATACATTCTAAAGTATTTGAATACTTATTTTTTTAAGTATTTGAATACTTTTCAATGTATCTGTACCTATAGTATTCGCTTGTGCTGGACGTAAAAGTATTTAGTATTCAAATACCTTTGATTTGTGTAAAGTATTTACTATTTAGTATTCAAATACTTTTTGAAAGTATTCTGCCCAGCTCTGATTTTTACTTTCTTGTTTGATTTTTTTACAGGGTCTACAAACCACCCTTTAAGTGCACATGAAAGTATAGTTCCTTCCCGTTTCAAAAATTATAATTTATTTTAGAAAACTGACTTTACACAACAATCCGTTTATTGTGAGGGCTGTAATTATTGTGGTACTTCAAATATTTTTGTTTCCTTGTGTAATTTTGTTTACTGGGCTTACAAGACACACTTTAAATGCACAGAAAGAGTTTAATTTTTCTCAGGGTCTGCAAGCCGTCCTATAAAGGCTCATAACAGTATATGTCCTTCTCCGTTTACAAATTACAATTTTTTAAAGGAAACTCTGGTTTAGATAACCCGTTTATTGTATAAGCGTAGTAGTTTTGGGGGGACTTCAAATAATATGTTTGTTGCTTGGTTTGATTTTTACCAGGATGCACAAATCCTTTAAATGCACATGAAAGTATGGTCTTTTTCGTTGTGAGGACTGTATTTTTGTGGCACATACTTCAAATATATTTTTGGTTCCTTGTTTGATTTTGTTTACAGTGTCTACAAACCACCCTGTAAGTGGACATGAAAGTATAGCTCCTTGCTGCAGACTGTTTACGTACCTTTTCAATTCCAAAGTTTCTTTCTATTTCTGTAATAAATCTCGCTTCGGTCAATTCGCCCCGTGGAATATTAAATTCTAAAGCTTTGACCGGTGCACCTCCACTTTCAGTACCATCACCAGAAAAAGTGTACTCAACATCCCATACTTGATGAAGTAGGTATGTTGGTCCAGCTGTGAAGGTTTCGAGAACATATCGTTCATCTTCGGAAACAAATTACGTGTGCGTTAGCATTTACCAATATGTACACGACAATCGTGATTTCGAAAGGAGAGCAAATGATTCAAGAAAAATACCTTCGGCTGACGCAGGTCGGAAGAAAGGTATTCAGCATTTGAATACGGCAAGATACATTCAGATTTTCTAATGAACCAAAGGAGTATCAAACAAACAAAGAAAAAGTAAAACGTATGGACAAGGACTATTTGGCGGCGAAGTCGAAATTTTTAGTGCGTAACAGTGTGTTGTTTGAATTGAAATATTGTCCTGCTTCTCCGATGTGTTCCGAAAATTCTTCCTTACATTAAATATAAATTAAAACTTCACTCTTGGTCTTCGAGCGATCACACGTTTTTCATCAGCTTTTGTGTTCGAGTGGGTTGTGCTGGCAACATTCATTAATTTTTTGAATTTGTTTCCTTAATATATCTATAACGTAGGTACATATTGCATCATCTCATCATCCATTTAAGTCGGCCCACATAGTGTGAAGTGTGTTTAGAAAACTTTCAAATGTATCGACTGATGTCAAATGTAAATCGTAGTATCGGATGTCAACTTACAAATGCAAAAAAATTTAAAAAAATGTATCTGTGTAAAAGGTTCATCCATACATTTATTCGCACTTTCATTATAAATCTTATTTGCTGTTTTTGGTTCGCAACGAATCTCAAAAGCTTTTTAATGTATTTAGAGCTTTTAGTAACGTTGTACGAAATAAAAAAATACATTTGAAATTCAGTTAAAATACCCCACGTCAAAAGTGGCCTTATTGACACCCTTCGGAGTTGGTAATTTTATAATGCATTTATACGTTGTACGTAGAGAGCAACTGCTACAACATAAAAGGGCGTAGTAATTTGATCATTTTACACTAAAAAGCTCAAACTCAAATAAAGCTATTTCATTACTCCAATATACTAGTATTATTAATTTTAATATGCTCGTAGTGTTTTCGGTCATTGTACTTTTTCTACAGCCGGTGCTCTTATTAAGTATTTAGTGTTTTTATTTTTTCGCAAATATTCATGTAAAATTTAAATGTTAGGATGCACATCTAATTAGCAAACTGCAGGTAGAAAAATAATGTCTATTTGTTCTTTACGGATTTCTATTCACTTAAGATCGGTTACGGTTTTAAAGAAGATTTTGAAAAATCACTTATATCTGAAATTTGTACGGAATTATCTTGCGGTTGTATTTTTCTTGCGCCTGTTAAGGGATATATTCAACTAAGTATAAATTATCATACAGTGCTCGCACAACAGCAGTAAATTTCAAAATTTAAAATTTATGCATAGGAGAGGTGGGTACTCCAGGCCTATGCCAAAGTATCAAGTATCGAACGTAGAACTCCCATTGAGTTTGTGGTTTAAAGTGAAAAAATCTTAAATGTCTTCATAAGTTACCCCATTACCATACTTTCGTTATTAATCATGCAGGTGTTTATTTTAAAGATTCTCAACTAAACCTGAACCACTTTTGCCAATTTCTTCTTCTTCTTTCTTCATAAACTGCAGCCTGTAAAACTCTTATTGCCCGGATAAAATTCTTGAAGAAGTGAAAATTTTTAGAATTGGAAAAAAGGATCGCTGTGAAAATAAAAGCCATTATTTTGATTAGTGCGTCCGTTAAGTCTATTCTAGATAAGTTTTGGTCACTTTTGATCTTGATTTTATTTAGTCTTAATATCAAGAGTTTTGGAATTCTCGACTTTGCAGTGTTACCAAATCAAACTATGTTATAATAACAATGGATTTTGACTCATTTGCAGCTGAAATCTTATATTTCCGAAATTTATCTTGTATATAGATCTATAGCTACGGTATTATCTCGGATTAAAAAATGCATAGGTACTATTGATATCATTTACGTAAGTTTTATCAAATTTGGAATTGTATATTTAAACAACTTATAAACAAGAATGCGATAATGAAGCATGAATCAGGTATGGTTTCTTTGTACAAGAGACTACGTGACTTACAGAAGTCATTCTCTCTGTAAGCGATCAATGTTCAACACAAAATTTCGTTGGAGGCACTTCTGTTTATTTTTGATATCGATTTTAGTGTTTATAAGTGGTTTAAGAGTGATAAGTTGCTTCGTTAAGACCGAACCGGAAGAAATTGTACGTATTTTCTTATATCGCTAATTTGTTATTTATTGGCGCTATGTCGGTTAAATTTGAAAGTATGCAACATTTTTCTGACAATTTATAATGCTCAAACACAACAAAAATTTTGATCGGGTTATCCAAATATTTAGCAGTCACTTTAAAAAAATGCCCCTGTATACGTTTTGAAAACAGATGAAGTTCTGCGTGAAAGTTTTTGTCGAGTCTATTTATTCTTTTGGACGAATTATAGCTCCAATAATAACAACCACAAAGATGGTAGTGTCAAGTGATGGGTATCGATTTTTTATTAATTTTTTCTACATGAGTAGGTACATAGTGAAATGATGAAAGCAAGGAATTTGACAGTGGTCATCCATGGAATTAATGTTTCCCGCAGTGCAAAGAATTCATGCTTTAGGATTCACTTGTCTAATAAATAGAGCTATTTTGAAGTAGTTTTCGAAAAACGTCTGGGGACCTCAATTTTAGATTCAAGGGGGACATTTTTTTACCCCAACTCTGACTGACCCTCTAATCACTTATTGGTAGGTATCGAAGCTTTACGGTCACTTTAGTGGTATTATGCCATGCGAAATAAAATTTGTCTAGAAAGGGTCAATTTTTGATACCTACAGAAGTGTATGCTTCTCCTTTATTTACAGCAGGAAATTAATATGATTTATATTAATTACAGATTTTAATAAAAATGCGCGATGTGCAAACGGCCCAAATTAAAAAAAATTCAAATAGAAACATGAAATAATTTTTAATTTCTGATCGAATGGCACCAATACCTAAGACTGTAAGTGGTGTAGTTCCGGAGCTTGTGTAAAAGACATCGAGAGCGCAAAAGTGCACTTTTTATTGTTTTAAAGTGAAAGTGCAGTAAAAAAATTGCTACCAATTTGCGTACTTTGAATTTATGGTCAGTGGCGTACTTCTGTAAGGGGGGCATATTTTTTAATGGCAAGTACTATTTTTCATGACATATTCTTAAAGAGTAGGTACACTTTTTTGATATATAACAACATACACAACGTTTACGTTGAAAAAAAAGTACTATTCTTTTTGTTAGTTATGATGTCAAAGTAATTTATTGTATCAAAAATCTTTAAAAATTTATATCTACTATATGCATAAAAATTATTTACAGTGGCGTGCGTCTACAGAAGTAAGATGGTCATTTTTTTAATGGAAAGCATTATTTATCATGACGTACTATTAAAGTGTGAACCTTTTTTTTAATATGAGAAAAGAAAAAAACATGTTCAAACTAGTGAAATTATAAAACTAATTAACTATTTTCATTGCTTTGAATTTTTCTCTTAAATTTGATTATGCAATATAATGCGTTTTTTATGCTACCATATTCAAAAAAGTTTACCTACTCTTTATTAATATGTAATAAAAAGTAGTAAAAAATATGCCCTCCCTGTCCATGAAGAAGAACGCCATTGACTACAAATTTAAAGTAGTACATTTGCTGGTAGCCTTTTTTATACTTTTGTTCACCCTATAGACACTTCTACTTACCTTAGAAGATGTACACGCTGCCCAAAAGCCTTCTTTCAATCTACAGCATACAGCATCGGCTCAAGTTTCTAAAAAGTATTTTAGGTTTTCTTCAATTCCTTCACGTTACGTATTTAGAGGTGCACGCGCTCGAGTCTGCAGTTGAAGTGTCACTACTTGACTTGACTTTAAAGTAACTTGTTTGACTTGACTTGACTTAAAAGCTATTAAAGCTCAAGTCAAGTATTGGAACTTCATTATCAAGTCAATTGAAGTGTTTATATCTCGTTACTTTAAAAAATGAAGTTATTTGTCAAGCTACTTTATTTTATAAACACCATGGAACTTGAATTATAAATCAAATCTGTGCGCAAATTGAGCCAATAGCTCAAAATTTCACGATGACGTGGACGATGTTAAAGATCTGGTAGTCATATATAGATATAATATGATATATTTACAACATTCATGAAGTTGGGCTTGGGAGTCCCATTAATTGAAGTAGTAGGTAATTTTGTTGTTGTTGTTAGGGCCACTGTTGAAAGTGTCCAGATCTGTGGATTTGAAAAACGCATGTTTGGCGTGGTGGCGGAAAAACCGGGATTTTTTCTTTTTTATTTTTAGTTTTCTGGCACTAGAAAACCTCTTTAATAATTGTGTGGGGGTTGTTTGTTATCCATGGGGCGAACCATTGCTTAGTCACCCAACCTCAGTCTGTGGAGTGCCGCCTTGAACACTGCGGTTTCTGATAGGAGGATCTCGCTGTAGAAAAGAGGTGGTAGTCGCGGAGCAAAGTTATAGTTTGTAGAAACCAATTCCTATCGATGAGACTGTTCATTAAAATACCATAAAGGGTGGACCTGTGGTACACTCCCCCCCCCCCCCCAAACTCATTTTTAAAAGTACCACTACCATTGAATCTTATTCAATGCCACAGCATACATATGCGATGCAAAGTCTGAAACAAATTGGTTGTCGCATGTTTAAGGGTTATGCATGTTGTATTTTCGAAAGTAGAATTTTTGGAAATCATTGATGGGAGGTCCTTTCTGTAGACAGTAAAATTTGAAGACCTTCTGGGACATCTTCAAGAAATAGGCTACCTACCTATTGCAAAAAAAATCCAGGTACTCGAGGATAATTCCCATAAATGTAAGTCAAAATCGCAGAACTTGGTACGGAAGCGAGCAGACGTACGGACAAAACGCACCTTTTTTCACTTTTAAAAATACACTAAAAATACCTATACTTATTGAATCTCTTTTCTAAGTTTCTGTAATATTCTATTACTGTGTGTGAATTTAATTTCCAAGGATTATAAATAAACTACTTGAAGTTGCTTGCTTTCATTATAAAATGTTTCAATGTTAAAATGTCATTATTTGGTATCATCGTGTATATAAGAACTGCTAGTTCACTGCATTGTGAATAGAGTGCGTAAGTGTACAGAAGTTGGCGCTCTTAACGGTCTTTTCACTTGGCTTCCATCGTTATTGTTAAAAGTTGTGATTTTTCATAACCAACCTTTACTTTTATACTAGCGTTGTATTCTAAAGAAATTGTTTAAAATGAGTGACGCGGAGTTCTTAAGAAGGGCCAAAAAAAGGATTAAGGAGGTGAAACGCAAAGCACGACCAGGTAAAGGGCTCTGGAATTTTTTCTAACCTGCAAATGCCTCTAATTTGTTTTTACTTAAAGAACTGACTACAAAAGAAGCCTGGACAGCACAGGGGTACCTGGAATGCTTCCAAAAGTTCTGGGAATTCACAGATAATTGCGACAGAATCGACTGCACTGAAGCTTCCTACGCCGAATTTGTCGACAAGTACGAACGACCGTATAAGCCCGTTGTCTTAACGAATGCCCAGTTGAAATGGAATGCGAATCAAAAGTGGACACTGCCAAAATTAGCCAAGAAGTACAGGAACCAAAAGTTTAAATGTGGCGAAGATAACGAGGGATACAGTGTAAAAATGAAAATGAAGTATTATATACATTACATGCAAGTAACTAGAGATGATAGTCCGTTATATATTTTTGATAGTAACTATGGAGAGGTAGGTCCAGTTTGCAATATCTCAAATAATATGTAGCGCTCTTTTTAGCACAAGCGCCGGAAAAAGCTCCTAGAAGATTACGAAGTGCCATTATATTTCCGCGATGACTTATTTAGGTACGCGGGTGAACGTCGTCGACCTCCATATCGTTGGTTTGTGATGGGACCGGCACGTTCCGGTACTGGAATACATATTGACCCGTTAGGAACAAGTGCCTGGAATGCCCTCGTTTCTGGACATAAACGGTAATCATCAGAACATTATATACACTTTACAGTAAGGCCATCATGTATCTATTTTGGTTTGCTGAGTGGGTTGAGTGCTGCGTAGCAGTGGCAGTTTACTGTTTTATAACATTAACCTTTTAAAAGGTGGGGAGTGTCGATTCTTTGGGGTTGTTTTTCAAGTCTTTAAAATCTGTGCAAACTAACAGATATTCTGCTACCAACATCTTGATGAAAGGAGTTTCAACGAACCAAGGACCACTGGTCATCTTTTGAAGCTTTTGAGAATTATAAAATGTGTGACATTTTTTTTTTTAATATTTAGGGTGTAACATTTGTATGTAAAAAACTGATTGGTGGAATGGACTCTAACCTATGGCCCGCGGGTCAAAATCGGTCCGCCAGTATCACCAATCCAACCCACTGTACTTGAAAGTTGTACAGTACAGTCTTGATAATCCGGCAGTTTCCAGCATCTCCGAATGGCGTCCTAAGCTATGATGTCTTGGTGCTAAAATAACTACAAGAAGTCAATTTTGATAAAATGTATACAGCAAAGAAACAAAAAACAATTGATAGTTACTTTTCCTAGTATTTAAAATTACATATTTGTGTATAATTTGTATTTGTTTGTATATTATGTAATCATTTCCATTATTACATTCATAGTAAAATTGGTCTTTTCTTCTATTACTCTCGATAACCCGGCGTTTGCGTGGTCTTATATATGTCGGATTATCAAGATTGCGCTGTTGTTTTATCAATTGGCCCCCTCACTTATTTAGGTGGTTTGAAAGAATACAAAAAATTATGAGAGTGTTTTTTATTTACTATCTAACTCAAATCATTGTGTATATTTTTCACAAAATATTTGTGTTTAAGTATATCACTGCACGAAGCCGGTTAACGAAATATCGTAATATTGTTATATTATGGAAATATAGATTTACAGTGTGTCTTCCAATCGTTTGGTAGTCTCTTGTAAAAGACAAAAAATTTTCAAATTGAATTTTGAGCTTCTGGGGACCAGGCCTGCTTGGTTAGAAAATTTTAGTTTCAAACAATCAACATTGCCTTTCAAATTTTCAATAAACGTTTTTTTTTCATACCTCTTTGGGGAAGAAAATTCGTTCAGAATGAAATTTTTTGATGGTTTTATTTTGCTTAAAAACCGTTCAAAATATAATGTGTAGTAAATTTTAAGCTAATAGAAACACTGCGGTATGTTATTTTGAACAGTTTTTTAAGTAATATTTTTTGAAGTTCCTCCAAAAATCTATTTAAAAAAAAACTTTAAAAAAGTCAAAGTAGGCTTAGCACGCTTACTCAGCTTTTCAGTCTGAACAACTTTTTTTAATAACATTTATGCGTATCTTGTTCACAAAAAAAATTTTTTTCGAAATTTCAAAGACGCCCTTGATTTTTCAACCAAGCAGGGTTGGCGATCACTCCAGAAGCTCGAAATTCAATTTGAAATTCTTTTTCTTTTATAAGAGACGACCATACACTTGAGGGACACACTGTAGATCAACAGAGGGTTGTGTTTAGATAAGTTAAGGTACGATTTACTTTTGTTGTACCGTTAGCTGCACTATTTCGAATACCGAATGCACCCAACCACATTGAATTAATTGTACACACTTGGAGAAAATCCAAGAGATTACTTTTATTACACATCGGTTACTTGTGACTTTAACAATACAAGTAATCCAAAATGAGGTTTATAGACGGGAACCAGGGTGTTTTTTGCAGAATTTTCAAAATTAGTCGAGAGTCTTTATTTTAACAGATATAACAAAAATGTATTAAAAAGGTTTTTTAGAATTAAAGTTATGGTAGGCTTTCAATTTTCTAAAATCTGCTAAAATAAAGACAGTGTACTAATTTTAGAGTTAGGCAAAAAAACACCCTGTATATTAAATGATTTGCCTCTATCTTAGACTTAGTTTGAGACTAAGCAGGAGCGATCCTCAGAACATGAAGATCCAAGTCTAAACAAATTTGTGATATACACCTTATATGCACTCAATCTGTGGACACACTGTAGATACAAAGAAATACGAAAAGTTAAAACTACATACTAGATATATACCTTTTTAATTAGTTTAAAAGAAGATATTAAATATTTCTTTTGTATAATTTGTAGACTCTTTCGATATCAAGTTTATCCTATCTCTTTAAAGTAAGAGATCCATATAACTCTACGGACCCATAAAACACAAAGGTTTTCTTGCCACCGTTGTGCCCACAAATATCCAGCTAGATCATTTTAAAAAAATTTCACTGTGACAGTTTCTTGAATCTGTATTATTCGACCCAAGTACCGCCATATTCATTATAGTATATTTTCCATTTTCAAGTTTTGTGTTAGACTCAGTCTCAGGAATCATCTTTTAATTGTAAGTTATTTGGAAAAAAATTATTGTAATAATAATATAATATGCTCATAATAAACTAAACAGGGTGCAAATTTTGTGTTGAATATTGAATATATCTTCAAAACAAAGTTTTTTTTTTAAGAAGCCTTTTATGATATCCAAAAATATAAAAAGTTTGCTACCAATCAGAGCGGGGTACTGCTCGCGAGCGTTTCGTTTGAAAAAGCGCTTGCATCGCTCGCGATTGCTCGCACTTTTCGGAGCGGCCGCTTAGTGCTTGATACTCGAGCGTTTACTTAAAGTGCTCGGCGCGCGAGCGCTTTTTTCTGCCCGCGCGAGGATGTTACGCTCAGAGCTTGCGAGCACTTTTTCCGCTCCCGAGCGCTTTTCCGCACCTGTCCGTTTTTTTCGCTCGTGAGCGCTTTTAACCGCCCTTTGGCCTGCGTTCTTTCCGCTCACGAGCACTTTTCCCGAACGCTCACGATAAACCGCTCGACTACTTTTAGTAGTGAGCTCGTAAGCGGCTTCACTTTGCAAAACAACTCGATACTCGTGAGCATTTTTGAGAAAATGACAGCGCTCGTCGTTCGAGCGGTTTTTTAGAACGCTCCACCCAGCTCTGCTACCAATTGACATACTTTAAGTTTGTAGTCATTGGCGACTTTTGCATGTTCAGGGAGGGGTTTTTTTTTAATGGAAACCACTGGTTTTCATTATGTATTTTTCAAGTACAGGTTTTTCAATATAGCGGCCTAAAAATCTTATTATATTACATAATTCAATTTTAGAGAACAACTCAAATAATTGAAAATTGTTGTGTAAATTAATTTAATAATAATAATAATTGAATCAAATTGTATCAAAAATCATTAGAAACATCTAAGTAAATCTACACGCTTAAAAATTATTTATAAGGGCGTGCGTGTACCGAGGCGTCTACAGAACTACGACGGTTCCTTTTTTGTAATGGAAAGCACTATTATTAAAGAATGAAATCGATCCAATGTTCACTTTAAAATTATTGAGGGAGTGGCAACCTTGCTTAGGGGGTTGACGCCAGGAGTTTTAAGTAAAATATGTCCCCTTTCCAACCAAAATCGACCTGTTCTTGCATTTTTCCCAAAAACTATTTCCATACGAGTTATTTCATCTTCATTTTTTGAATGCATATCAACTGCGCCGTCTGTTGTCAGTTGTCAGTAAGTGGTGTGATCAGGTATGAAACTGATATAAGAATTATTTAGAGCAGTACATTACCCAACACGCCCCCCGTATTTTACTCGACATACTAAACGTCAGTAGAGTAACTATAAATGGATAAACAATGTTTCAATCTAATAAAAAAAACCAATTCTGGTGTTCCTCTGGGATTGGTGTTGGGTCTCATATTATTTCTCTTTTATTTAAAGATATTTCTTCTCACTTTGGTGTCAGTAACCTATACAACGAGACCCTTGCCCAACTGGGGAAGGAAGACTAATTTTGTTAGATTTCGTAACTACCATAAATCAATAAATAGATTATTTATTTGTATGCTATTACTTGAATTTTGCGGTGATAAAAAATGGCCTTACTGTAAGTGTATACAGGATGATACAAATTTGATGCATTAGCATCTATAAGAGATATGCATTATTGAGCATCGAACTTGTAACACCCTCTATCCAATGATTGCGCTTCTAATTTTTCTGTTACAGATGGTGTCTATTTCCTACAAATACTCCTAAAGAATTATTGAAAGTTAGTAATGATATGGGCGGAAAGCAACGAGACGAAGCAATTACGTGGTTTAAAGTAATTTATCCGCATACCAAAGATCCTAGTTGGCCGAGCGATTGTAAACCGATCGAGATATTGCAGAAACCGGGAGAGACTGTCTTTGTACCTGGTGGCTGGTGGCACGTTGTCCTCAATTTAGATACAACAATCGCAGTCACGCAAAATTTCTGTAGTCGCATCAATTTCCCGATAGTATGGCATAAAACGGCGCGCGGTCGACCTAAACTCTCGAAAAGATGGTTGCATGTTATACGAAAGAGGGACCGCACGTTAGCGCACATCGCCGATAAGGTGAATTTGGAGCAACCCTCCTCTCTGGCGTCGGATAGCTCGAGCGATTCCTCCTCAAGTTCTAGTTCGGAGGTTTCCGAAAGTGAGAGTGATAACGAATCTTTTTCAGATGTCCGGAGGAGACGACGATTCGAGTTTCACGAGTTTAGACTGAAACGACATGTAAGAGCCCACCTTTTCGTTTTAGTAGAAATATTTGATTTTGTTTGCATTCGCGTATTGTCTGTGGGTTATGTTTTTGTGTATTGTTCTGCTGGTCTGCGATGTATTTGAATGGCCTGAATGATGGTGTATAGACGCCACCGATGAAGGCAACTGTGATAAAACCTAAAAGTTCTATTATAAGTGTTTTTTTTGGATTGGGATAGAGCAGCCTCATATGAAACCACATTTGAAAATAAAAGCAAATCAATAATGAAGTCTGCCAGAACAAAAAAACAACATTGATTTGATCATTAATAAATCAAGTTGGGTAATGCCTATTTAAATTCCAAAATTGAGTCATACCATTCATCAAGGAATATAATAATTTCTGTCATTGACAAATGGAAATAATTGTTGTCTAATTATTAATAAACAAATTGAAAGCTAGAAAAAAAATGTTTGAAAGAAATTCCAAAATTTTGCATTTAATTCTGTGGGGGGCATTTTATTGTTTTCAATTTAAATCAGTTTTGAAATTAGATTTCGAATTGGCAAGTAAGTCTACCAGATGGAGAAATATTCAATAATTTAATTTTAAAATTGAACTTTCGGGAACTTTCAATCCAAATTTTGAATTCATATTTGAGTTGAATATTTATAATAAACTTGAATCCCCAATTTTAAAAAGTATTTCAATGAAGTTCCAAAAATGGATAATGAGTATGGAGACGATTTATCTTTTCTGCTCATAATTAACCCACTACAAACGGAGTTTGTTCTTTGCACTAGAAAAAGGAGGAATTGATACAGTCTTATCCATTGATAATTTGGACTAGAATTCATGATAAGCATGATTTTTTAGTAATTTCAGAGAGACTATGCCCCTTGAGAACATGAAGGTATAGAAAGAAAGTATTATAAACGGGTACCACTACAACACTGGTTTGCAAAAAAAATAATGATTAATTGTTTAATTATTTTTATTTTGCTTCCAACATTTGCTTTTTATGTTTGGCTGTTTATTTGCTGAGTTTACTGTTAATATGCAGCATATACCATATTGGTATGCAAAAAACTTCGCGTGGTAGACAGGACCAAACATTTTTTGACATGAATAGAGGATTCAACATTTTTTGTTTGAGAATTACGTCCCCTCCAAATTTTTTTCTCTGCAACCATCCTATTAAACTGGGGCACCACGTACTCAGGGTAGGTATGCCAACCAAGATATTAGCTACTTGTGATTTATCAACAAAATTGTTTAAAAATTTAACAATGATCTCAAAGAAATGTTATGCATGTCTTATTTACTGTGTATAATTCAGCAAAAATGGTGGTTGAAAAGATTGTGGACATTCCTTTGTTATTGCTTTTGCAACTTTTTGGAGTTGTTTGTTGTTTAAACATGCATTTGAATCACTTATATCATTTTTAATATTTTCCAAAGACTGATAACATTTTAGTATAGCAGTTATAGTGTAGCAGCTGATAGCATAGTCCAGGGCCGGACTCGTAGCCGATCTTCCCCTTTTCCACGCTCGCGTAACGTTTCTGATAATGGAAATGAGTTCTATTGAGGCTTTCTGACACAGGTAGTGTTCCTAATGAGCCAAATGACACCTTAATTATACATAATGGTGGAACGTTACCTGAAGAAGTCATAAAAATCCTCTGCGACGATCTAGAGAAGAGCAAAGAAAATAACGACTCTTTAGCTTCTCAGCGATAGTAAGACATGGCCTACAAGAGGACAAAGCAATGGGCATTTCGTTCAAATATCTTATCCCGGAATATCTAACCTATGGAGTTAGGAACCAATTACCGCCCTGCTTTCTAACTCTTTCTTATCAAAAGAGGGAATGGGGGGGGGGGTGGAACTGGTTTAATCCTTCATGGTACTCTAATGAAAGGTCTCAACAAAAGAAGGAATTAATTTCTACCAACCATAATCCTCCTCCTCAACCCCTTATCGTTATCTGGTATGTTCCCTTATATCTCCAGAATGTATTGACGGAAGAGGGTACTCACAAAGGACGATTGGGACGTCTTGAAGCAATATATCCATTGGTGATGTCAAAACTTAAAGAGCAAATATCTCCAAAACGGTTTGTCAGAGGAAAGTACTCTCAAAGGCAAAATGCATCGACTGGACGAGACATATCTATTGGTGAAGTTAAACAGTAGAACACACCACTAAAACTTGGGTGGGATTCTGTGAGGGACACAATTTTTTTCCATACAAAGGCGAAGTAGTAAAAATCATATCCTTACAAAACCTGTTGGAAACCACAGGAAATAGATATGGATCCTTCAACTCCCACACTACAGATCTCAAGAATTAGCCCACGAAGACCTAGATATTACGTTACATGGGACCTGTGCTAAAGTTTTTGGGAAGTACCCGTCATGACAACCTAAAACAACTCTCAAAAACTTCTTACTTTGCTAGCTTTGGCAACAGGCTAAAGAATCCAAACCATCTCGTCGATATAGTGCAGCAATATCAAGTTCTTAGACTCGATGTATCCAGTTTAATTAATTATTACTTAACCCTGACCGGCAGCAACTTGTTTTTGACTTACAAAAAACCACATGAGCATAGGAACAAACAGTCGCTAAGTCGTTGGGTGAAAGCAACACGTAGGGAAGCGAGAGTAGGCATGACTCTGTTTTGTGGCAACTTGAGTAGACATGCCTCCACTCTGCAGCCCTAAGGAGTTTGCTAGTTTTTACAACAAACCCCTGGCAGCCTCAGATGGTCTTAAGAATGCCCAGCTTTCTGTATACTAAACACCGGCATTAGAGCTCAGTGGTATAGAGCGTTGGGGTATAAATCCGGAGGTCGGGTGTTCGAACCTGGTTTGAGGTGAATTTTTCATTTGTGGCAGAGATGGGAATTTCTTTAGATCAGTTTCAAGCATTCTGCCGGCTACTCCGAATTAGGTTTTCCTGCAGTTTTCCTAATTCGTAAGGTAAATACCGGAGTAGTATAGAACAACTTAAGACCTTCTGCAGGGGCACCTCTAAAAAGCATTATGCGGGTCACTCTGTAATTGGGCACATGCCTGTTGAGGGCCTAGAACAAGAGGGACAATAAATAAATAAATAAAACATATATCAGCATTAAGACTGGTTTTAAGTTTGGCACTAGCAGTACTTTAGTTGGATATGTTTTTGGAGGGATGCACATAAGAATTCATTTTTACATTTTATAATTTTTGCATACTACGCTGTTGGGTATCATCCATTATAGCTGTTTTACAACGTCTATTTTTTAACCAAAATTGCACTGCCTCCTCTCCTTACCGCCCCGCATAGAGTCGAAAAACCAACTGCTAGTGGGTTTGAGGCATAGCGGGTGGGAGCAAGTTTTATCTTTCAACCTTGTGCATTGTAGTAGGAAAAGCACGTACTGCAGAGTGTTACAAAACGATATATTCAGACTGGGCCCCTCATATAATTCCGATCGAACTTCCATTTGCAAATCTTGGACATGGCTTCTGCTGCGAATATATCACCAGGCCTTTCCATTCATACATCTCGGTGGTTAATTAAATAAGAAACACATTTTGGCGCTTTTTGAAATGTTTGGGTTCTTTGCCACCGAAGCTTTTTTTTTACGTACCCATATGTTACATCCTGTGTGGTTCTTTTAATATAAATGTGTAGTTTTGTTAATAAATACCATTACAACTTTCCTTTTTTTTTTTGAAGAAATGAGGCTTCATGGTGACATTTGAATTTACTACTTGCACAATTTCAAACGTTATTAATTTATAAAAGAAAGTTGTAAAAGTGGATTCACTCCATAGCTGGACCCTTATTTCTTCAAAAGCTCTTCCATTATAATTACTTCCTGACTCCTAATTTTGCTTATTTTAGCTTTAATTGATTGTTGTATGTGGGAACTTTTAAATTTCATTTTATCCATGCCATGAGCTAGAAATGTTTTTCAAACAACTTACAAGTGATATAAATGAGCGAAATCTTTTATCTATTGTATTTGGCTGTTCGGATAGCCTTTATCTATCAGCTGCGAGTTCTTGGTGGTATCGATAACATTTCACATGTTCCTTGTGTATTAACAGACAACATTTTGAAGAAGGGGTTGCCCGACAATTATAATTGTTGGGTTCTATGTTGCAATGTAGTTGTGCTTTTTTTTTGAAAAGAATTATTTCGATACCTACCTACACTTTTTTTATATTTTTACAAAGGAGACCATGTAACCAATTGAAGTGCACTAACCACTTTCAATTTATTTCAGTTTTGTATTTTTTCCTCTAGTAGAAGCCTTATCTGCCTTGGGTGTAAAATGCTATAGCGTAGCGATGACAACAACACGATTTATATTGTTTTCTAATTTTGCTTGTTTGATTTTTTTGTTGTAGTTTAAGAGAAGACCTCACCTTAAAAAAAACCTGTAAATATGAAGATCATTCTTTTTGTTAAAGCTTGTCACGCTTATCTTACCACCAAGAGACTTGCCCTTGTACCTATATGAGACGGAAACATAAATGTAAATGTGACATTTTGTTTTTAGAGCAACGATTATCCTTTACCGTCTTGCTCATCTTGTTCTCTACAGGATAATTCAAAGTCTTCTGTATTAAAATAGTCTGAGTAGAGTAGAATAATTTAATTTTGGCTATGTATCAAAACGCTTAGAAAACCTAAATTTGTGATTATTTATATTATTTATTTGTTGTAATAGTTACCATTTTCTAAGTCTATTATTTAGAGAGGTTTAAATAAAATTTATTCCTTTCTTTTTTTGAAAATGTTTAGTTAGTGCCGCGGTACCTATACTTTTGTAATTTTCGATCATTCCTAACTTCTAACTTAACGAAGGTACTGTCTTCGGCAGTTTAATTTTGATTCCTTCATTAACCACATTTTACATAGTTCGCAATATTATTTATAAGGTTGCTGTATATAGAGAGTTATTATTTTATCAGTTAAATAATTAAATTGTAGGATTAAGTTGTCTTGATTGGTTGGTAATATCAATGACGGTACCATTTATCAGTTTATCAATGTGCAAAATTTAAAAATCCCATTTAAACTTGTTATTGATATTATTAATTAAGTTATTTATTTTAATGGGTAAAGGTGCGATTTGTTTGTTGTTCGCAAAGAATTACTTTTGTTGTTGCTATTGACTGTTAGTTTCTCTAATGACAGTGGCAGGTTGTAGAAATTACGAGGCGGTATAGTTTCCAAATGCTGCTGTTTATATTTTGTGCCAATTGTTGTGATCGCAATGACAACATACAGCCAAAAGATATGGACAGAACGGTATTGCTATAAATGCATAAATTTTAACAGACTGCTCATTATACGATACTTAACTATGTAGGTGTAGTCCTTATTTGATTAACGTTATTCGACCATTTTCTTTAAAATGTGATCTGAAAATAGTGCCTCATTCAGTGTTTAGTATTTGTTAAATTTCCTATCAAATTTAAATAATATGCCAACAAGATTGTATTATTACACGTAAATCCTGATGCCAAACAATTACGATAAACAATTTGTAATTGTTCGGTATCAATTATATTTTAATATTGTACAACTCGTTCATTCAACATCTGAAAGTTGTCACTTTAAAGACATGACAAAGTATTTATTAGGCAGTTAAGGTTTATAAACATAATCAGAATATTCTATTGTAACACAACCAAATATTTTGTGTGCCTTTGTTCTTTGTATTTTTAAATAAAAATTTGAGTAAAATTTGTGTGTGTTTATTTCAAAGACCATATTACACTAGCTAGATAGCCATCATACATGCAAGAGTTATTCACAATTGAATGGTTCTATAAAAATATGGAGCAATAATCTTTGACGAATTTACAGAGCTGATTTACATTTTTTTTTCAATTTAAATTAATGAACTACACCTTTACTTTTTTCCCCAACTGCAAAATGTATAGACATACTGGCCATGTGTTAATCACAATATTTTTTGGTGGCAAGTAGGTATTATTGATCTGAACTTTTGCCAAAAAATGTCACAAAATCGGCGCAAGTTACGAAATCAACTGGTTGGATGGTTGCAGATCAATTTCGCATATCATGATAGATAGATACTTTTATTCTTTACCAGAGAGGTGTTGAATAATTCAAAAAATTTACAAACATTATAAACAAGCGTAAACAAACAACAAGAAAATATAAATATACATGTAAAGTTAAAAATTAATAAATACTAAACCATGTAAACTCCTGGAAAATATCAAAGAATTCCTTTAAAGAATAAAAAACAAAGGAATTAAGTCGGATTCTTAGCGTTTTTTTAAACAAATCAAGTGAAGGAATTGACCTTATACCCTGAGGAATGCAATTGTATATCTTCACAGCTATTACTATATGTGAATTATTAATAATGGAAGATTTAGCTATTGGTATTCTAATGAGTTGGTGCCAAAGGTGAACCCAAAGTTTTGGAAAGATCATGTAAGGTGTCATGTCAATTCAAAATTGTTTACAAAAGTCGCTCGAATTGTTCCCAAAATTGTATCCCAAATTTTGAACTGAAAATAGATACGAAAATTGGAATGTCGTTTCTTCCAATGAAGACAAAACTTTTTACAAAAAACGCCACCAAAGGTAGTAAAACCCCACAATCTTCCCAAAACATTGAAGAATCTTTAGTATAAAAGGGAACTCCAAAGGTATATAGAAAAAAATTGTCCCTGCATTCTGCATTGCAATTTAAAAAAAAAACGCTGAATTGGGGGCTATCATTGACAAAAGTAATGATCGCCGAGTAGGTAAACTATAGAATAGTCAACTAGCATGCCTTAATGCTTATTGAGCTTCGTTGGTTTATGCAAGGAGGGGATACCTTAATTTGTGCACTGGTGATCTTCTAGCTGGTGGAGCGTGGTGCAACGTCATTCTGGCAGTGCGAACTGGTTCTGCAGGCAGAGAGCTGGTTGTTTCTTGAAGCAGGAATTGCTTTGCAGAGTTCGGAGCTCTGATTTTAAACGTTTGCGGCCAGAGACGCTACGCTCTCATCGGCAGGGGCGGACTGGCACGGGGAGGCGGGTGGCGATTGCCACCTGGCCTGTAGATCATAATGGCCCGTTGGAAATTTATAAGTATGTGCTGTATTTAGTTTCTTGCACTATTAATAAATTATTAACACGTTTCTCTAATTGGGGTTGATGTTAGGTTGTTAAAAAATTCTGTTTTAATTGAAATGTTTTACAATGAATTTATCATTTTTTGTCGTAGCATGAAAGTGCTGAAATACAATGATAGGCGACGCACCTCGTGTGGATTGTATATTTTGTTACTTTTGATTATCAGCTGCAATTAAAAAAAAACTGTATGGTAATTGATTTTCGAGAAAGGAGTACTTACTTTAAAATGTTTTTGTGGTGCACCTCAGAGCTACCCCACCCCCCCGGCACCTTCATTACTACACTAATACTTTAATGGCTTAATGGTCCGTAAGTACCCAGTCCGCCCCTGTGTATAACCTTCCTTTTTTACCAAAATTCGACTACACCAAAATTTCTCGGGAAAACACTTTTTCTTATTAATTTTGGTGCGTAGAATCCCAAACGATTCGTACTTTTTCGATCAGACTTCTCAATCAAAAGTTATAGACTAGAAACCAATTTCGAAAAAAAATTCAAAGGGCTGTAACTTTTGATCTAGTAGCCCAATCTTGGAACTGTTTGAAATTATGGATTCTACAGGCCACATTCTATAAGAAAATTTTTTTTCCGGGTCGATCTGAGACAATGTTTTTTTCGGGGCTCAAAAAAAGGCAGTGTATAACCAGGGGCGCANTTCAAACAGTTCCAAGATTGGGTTACTAGTTCAAAAGTTACAGCCCTTTGAATTTTCTTTCGAAATTGATTTCTAGTCTATAACTTTTGATTGAGAAGTCTGATCGAAAAAAGTACGAATTGTTTTGGATTCTACGCACCAAAATTAATAAGAAAAAGTGTTTTCCCGAGAAATTTTGGTGCAGTCTATTTTTGGTAAAAAAGGAAGGTTGTACACTGCCTTTTTTTGAGGCCCTCAAAAAAAATTGTCTCAGATCGACCCGGAAAAAAATTTTTCTTATAGAATGTGGCCTGTAGAATCCATAATTTCAAACAGTTCCAAGATTGGGCTACTAGTTCAAAAGTTACAGCCCTTTGAATTTTTTTTCGAAATTGGTTTCTAGTCTATAACTTTTGATTGAGAAGCCTAATCGAAAAAGTACGAATTGATTTGGATTCTACGCACCTAAATTACTTAATAAGATAATTCATTGTAAAACACTTCAATTAAAACAAAATTTTTTAACAACCTAACATCAACCCCAATTAGAGAAACGTGTTAATAATTTATTAATAGTACAAGAAACTAAATACAGCACATACTTATAAATTTCCAACGGGCCATTATGATCTACAGGCCAGGTGGCAATCGCCCCCCCCCCCGTGCCAGTCCGCCCCTGAATACAGAACTGGATATGCTGAGAATAAACTTTAAAGAATGGTATCCGTTTCTTCTCAATATGCTGTACCCATCACTACTCTATACATATGCAATTTGGAAGTAAGAATATTCCACAGGACATTCATAAGTCAAAATTGTAATTAAGGTGTGAAATTGACAAGTGATAGTGATAAAACGAATATTCCCCGTAGGTACATCCAGGGAATTTTGTAACAGAATATTCAATACTTACCGAAAAATCAAGAAGTATATTAATAGTCTGTTCTCAGTATATTCATTGCTGAATATCCTTAGGATATGCTAGACGAATGGATTCATAGAATATTCTATGGATATTTGGAATATTCACATACCTTCCAGCATGTTAGAAGAATATCCAATGTTATCTGGGATGAAACCATTTGGCAGGCTGGTAAACTAGCTACAAAAGGAAGAAATGTGAAGTGCTGGGAAGAAGTCTTATTGGATGCTTTCCACTTTGTGCGGTCACTACAGCGCACAGCTTGTCTCTCCCTCACTGGCTGTCAGACGATTTAGTAGCAAACATAGCTGATAGAAGCCAACCCCCGTAGTACGCATCGGTAAAAAAGCAATCATTCCGACAGCTCACGCGATACACATCTTAGTGGGAGCGGCTCGTGATAAATATTGGTATTATTCGGCATTTCGTATTAAAATTGTGCCATTTGGAACACATGTTCCCTAGACCTATTGGAGTGATTTGAGTCGCAGAGCCGGAAGTTCCGTCCCTTAGGATTGAAAATGGCGCCAATTTTTAAAATTTCAGGAAATATGTTTTAAGAGCGATTTTTGCGTTTGGGGTGACGTTTACGAGGTTTCCGACGGTGAATATGACAAAAATAATATCCAAAGTTAATTTCTGTGTGGGAAGCATGTTTCATTTATCATATATAGGCCAAATTGTATGATATCTTTAACGTCCGACAAGATTCAAAGGTTTTGACCGATTTTCGTAGTTGAGGTGGCGTTTCTAAGATTCTTTTGGGTGAAGATTACCAAAAAAGACCCATTAAAGGCCTTTTTTATGTATTTTTATGTATTTTGAATAAACAGATCGAGGTTAACTAAGTGCAAAACTGAAACTTATTCATTGAATCCTGTTTTTAACTAAAAATTGTTGATTATTGAAACATATTTACAAGTAAAAAGTCATCAGTCATCAAAGGGAAATGCCTCATCATCGCTCAGATCTCCTGTTGCAGTCGAGCTATAAATAATAATTTAGTTAAAATCATTAAAAATAAAACGCTGACAGTCATGTTTATAATAAGCATGTATGTACATATATACAGGGTGTTTGGTAAACATGCGGCAAAAAGAAAGAGGTTATTCCTTGGACTATTCTATTGATATTTTATCTTTGATGATTTTTGAAAAAACGCATTCGAATAATGAGCCATGATAGAGGATTTCACAAAAACCGTTTAAGTAATAGGGCAGAATTACATGTATCTTCGCAACGAAGCGTTTTTTTCAAAAATCATCAAAGGATAAAATAACATTAGAATAGTCCAAGGAATAACCTCTTTCATTTTTGCCGCATGTTTACCAAACACCCTGTATACTCGGCTGCGATTTTTGCAGTGTTTTTGGCAGTTCGAACTCTGTACGGTGCAGGGAAGGCTGTTTCGTAAGCATGAGCACCTCATGGTCTCACAAGTTGACTTGCAGCCGCATTTTCCTACGATTGAGAACGCTTTCCCTTTTGATGGGATACAAGTTATATTACGCAAGAAGAGCCGGACGGGCGAATCATCCTCCATGCGAAAGGTATGGTGGAGCATGGAGCCCAGAACATCCTCGTCCAGTCTTGAGATACTGACGTTCTGATGGGCATATATATTTTGTTTTTTTTTCTGAAAGAACTCGGACTGAAAGAAGGATATCTGTCAGGTGTTGGGGCCAAGCGTCGATATATAGCGACCCATTTGATTGTATTAGCACTTGGAGAAGAAAATTCACAAGCCCCACGGGGCTTTCATTGTTACACAGGTTGTGCCACAACGCCCTGCTTCAATTCAGTTGGAAACAAGAAGGCGTTTATGACTTGGATGAAACGCCCGGACGTGACACCAGCTTTACTTGAACTCTCCAATTCACAAAGAGGAATAACAGAAAAAAAACAATTAAAACTTTGGAAGAATTTACTACCGTTCTCTATGACCCCGAAGCTCCGGAGAAATCCACTACTAATGTGGGAAAATATTTATTTTGTACCAAACATAAATTACTGCAGTTCCTGTCCCCAATCAAGCAGGTCATGTGTTGTGGGGGCACTGCTTCTATCCTACTGAATGCCCTCCACATCCGTCAACGTGGGGATGGACACGAGGCAAAGTGGGCTGGGAATCAAACTGGACCAAATAGGTGTAAATATGAAAGGAGCTCACAATCCTAGGGAAATGCGGCTGCAAGTGAACTTGTGAGACCATAAGGTGTTCATGCTTGCGAAACAGCCTTCTCTGCACCTTACAGTGTTCTAACTGTCAAGAACACTGTAAAAATCATCGGAGCCGAGTATATATGTACATGCTTATTTTATAAACGTGACTGTCAGAGTTTTATTTTTAATGATCTTAACTAAATATTTTTTATATCTCGACTGCAACAGGAGATCTGAGCGATGATGAGGCATTCCCCTTTGATGACTTAGGTATGACTTTTTACTTGTAAATACGTTTCAATAATCAACAATTTTTAGTTAAAAACCGAATTCAATGAATAAGTTTCACCTTTGCACTTAGTTTACCTCGACCTGTTTATTCAAAATACTTAAAAATTCATAAAAAATAGCTATTTGTGTATTAAGAGCGCAAAATGATATATTGTCGATTGAAAGAGACATTTGCCGCGCTAATCTCTTGAAATCTACATTCAATTTGCGCTCGAATTACACACAAGATTTTTTCTACAATCGAGCAGTTCACATATTTCCAAAAATTTAAATTTTTCACTCAAATATAGATTATTATTTTAATCTTATGCCCAAATGAAAGATGTCATTTACTCGTTGTCATTGGATACTCTGAGCAATGCATATTTGATTTATAGTTTATAATTTGGAGAGCGAGCGTTTTTCTTTATTTTGTCGCTTATAAGCGACAAATTGACATTCCTTGAAAAATATGACGTTTGGGTTGTCAAATAGGAGCGCAAATGCCTACTTTGGATATCGATTGTAGAAAAAGATCTTTAATGGGTCTTTGTTGGTCATCTTCACCCAAAAGAATCTCAAAAACGCCACCTTAAGGAGGAAAATCGGTCAAACTTTTCAAGAAACTTTCGAATCCTGTCGGACGTTAAAGATATCATACAATCATGCTTTCCACACAGAAATTAGCTTCGGATATTGTTTTTGTCGTTTTCACCCTCGGAAACCTCGTAAACGTCACCCTAAACGTAAAAATCGCTATAAACACAGATATTTCCTGAAATTCGCCTCAACTTTGAAAATTGGCGCCATTTTCAATCCTAAGGGACGGAACTTCCGGCTCTGCGACTCAAATCATTCCAATAGGTCTAGGGAACATGTGTTCCAAGTGGCACAATTTTAATACGAAATGCCGTTTGTTTTCACGGGCCGCTCCCACTATCTAGTTTCATCCAATGTAAGGAATAACAAGGTCCGCTTATCCTCGGCACCCTCAACATCAGCGGGAAAACAATGTACCCCCGGCACGGAGTCTATGACTGATGGACAAGTAGACGAAATTTTACCATCTCCGCAACCCTTAGACAATCCAAAACCAGTCTCTCCTACCCCTCGTCGTTCAGACCGTCGGCTAAATCAACCTAATCGATACAAAGATTATATCGACAGGTACCGGTACGTAAGAGGGCTATGCACACAATACTACTTTGAGCCCACAGGAGCAACCAACTGGCTCCATGGCAGAATATAAATACATATAGTGGAGATCCGTCATCTTTCGCCTTCTGACGTGCCGATTGCAATACTGTTCTGTCCACTGTTCCCCTTACTATATAATCACTCTCACTCCTATACTAGACGTTTTTATATGGACGGGCACAAATTGGCACCGGTCTACCGTATTCTACGAATTATACACACTAGGAAATATATTGTTTATTTAATATTTAAACAAAGCAATACATATAAAATTACAATATTATTTTCCAAATTCGTGTAGTTTAATTACCTTATAGATACTAAGTTAGTGCCTCATTAGCTTCATATAATTATTACAACATGGCATTTTGAAATCGAGAAGTCTGAAGGTACTAAACTGAAATATAGTGCTTATCCAACATTGTAAATAAAATGTCATGCAAAGTAATTGTGTAATAGATGAAAAGTTGAAAATATAGATCCCTAACCCTTGCATATAATGTAAAATGTCCAGCTGTAGTAATAACAAGTTTGCTTAATGAGCTTTAATACTTTTACACATTACAGTAGGTATAAACTATGAGACAACTTTAAAATCAGTACAATTAATAATAATAAGTTGGCCTCTTATTTTTCCAGGTACACTTTGGCCTACCACAGTTTCATAAGAATATCATCAATTTTCTATTCTAAAATATGGATAAACGACTATATTTCAGTAATCCTTAAATTAGCTAATGAAAAACTAAAAAGGGTTACATACAGTGCTACAAAATTGGAAGTGATCTGTGCATTCTACAGCTTACTTACCTACGCCATGTGAATGCGTGTTTTAAAAATATGATCACCGCTTTTTTTTTACAAAAATTAACAAATGGGTTGTTTACTTACACTTATACAGTTAAAAAAGCAGTTCTTCATCATTTGGCTGTACATAGTCCATGAATCCTTCACATCAACAGTGCTTCTGCTAAATGTACATTTATGTAACTGTATGCTCTCTACTAATTATTATTTCTTATAGTTGTCCTACACAAATATGTAATCTAACTGTTTAACAATGAGCCAATTAATTGATTGCATTTAAACTTAACGTTTTAGGTACTGGTGCTTAAGTTACTGTAGTTGCGCTAACATGAATATAAATTAACTTATTACAATCGATCTAAAAAGACTGTATTATGTGGATATGGCTAACATGAAATTTTTTGTTATTGTTTATTTGAATAAAAGGATATTATGTAACATCAAATCGAGTTAACGTTCAAAATAAGGTTCTGATCAGAATTAATAATAGTAAGCCTACACTTGTACTCGCAGTAACAGGACCGGTACCTGGAAAAGAAGTATGCAATTATTCATTGTGTGCGTAACTTTTTCTTCATAATCCATACACGCATTTCACATATAAAATTTAAATTAACTAGCCCTTATTACCATATCGTAATAAATGAGTGGTTTTTGGGTCATGGAATCTATGACCACATGTGTGTAAGAACCCCTTTATTAACTTTAGCTATACAATAAGAGAGCGTTGACTATTTTATTTTGCCATTACAGAGCTATGGTATAAGGATTCTATCACAACAGTAGGGCCCAAATCAGATTCTGTCGCTCATTTGCCATACGTCTTAATTTCCAAGGACCTAAAGGACAACCTTAAGTTTTATATAAGAATGATAAGCACCAAAATTGGAAAACACCGCATCCCACACGTTGCAATCACTTCAGAATGGAATAGTTTCCTTAGTGCCAAGTGAATGTTAACAAATATGGAAAATCTCCGTAGTTGAAAAGAAAGTCGTTTCTGGGAATGACGTCGCCGTTGGACTCGTTGAAGGGAAATTTATACTTGCAGACATCCCCGCGACTGCTTCGCACTAGACCACATTTTCCGGAAAGAAGGTAATTTGAGAAAGTGTCTGTTACATACCTACGCTACTAAATCGAGGCAGGTAGGTACTACCATACTGTAAAACCTGGACAAGAAAAGGTTACCAGTGTTCGATACTTTCCTGTTCCAAAACGGCGTATAATATAAGACCTTTTCTGGGTTTGGACTTTCGCGACTTCGTTAAGGTTTATGCCGACATTGCCAAACCTTTGACCACTCTAACTAATAAAGATGTTCAATGGGATAGTACTCATGAAAATTCTTTTCAGATCCTCAAGGAGTGCCTAGTGTCGACGATTGTGGTTAGTATATTTGACCAAAACGTCATTACAGCAGTGTACACTGATGGAAGTCAACTGTGTAGCGGTAGCTCGCTTTGTGCGAATAGTAGGAAGTAAAATACATAACCCAGTTAAAATTCGCAGAAAAACGATCCGTTTGAAGAACAGGTTTACCGTTCATCAAATTTCACTGACCATTTACAGTGGCAAAATGGTGCAGAGAAACGTCACAATTCAGTTAGAAGGACAATCGAAAAAACAAGTCGTGATCTTTTTGACAGAATCGCCAATGAGCAAGATTTCTTTGGTCGTGCAATGACAGGGATTTTTGAATACAATCTTGAGACCAAGAACCAAAGTGAGGAGTGGCACTCTCCTCGATTAAAGAAAGCTCGAATGAGCAAATTGGATGTGTTCCTCCAGGACAAATTGTCAACCAAGTTTTCTTATAAAGACGTCCTTGAAAGACCCGGGAAAAAGGGTCATTCGCATAAGACGAGACAAATGAATACCCCATCATGACAACGCCCCTCTCGGTCACAATTTTTGATTTTAAAAGGCATTCCTGTGGGTCCCCAGTCCTCTTATTCACCTGACCTCAGTCCTTGTGACATTTCGGGACTTTAGAACATCCAAAAGAGTGGAACGAACATGCTGAAGACCATATTGGTTGAAGACTTCCAACGCTGCTAGCAAAAGTGGGAACAACGTCTTCAGGACTCCCGGTCAGTTGCAAGTTTTGAAATGTTCATAATTTTAGAATTTCTGTTTTTGCGAAGAACGTTACACGATATAAACCAGTCAACAGTGATTAATCCTGAACTTGTCGTTTATGTTTCTATTTTATGCGCGAAGTCATAATATAATAGTTACCAGCTCTTAAATCAATCTAAGTACACTACCAGAATTGGTAGGTACTACAGTTTTGTACATTTTAATTTAGGGTCCTATTATACAAAAAATGTGCAATATTTTGCATTTGCTAGGAATTATGTTTATATACCTACTACACTGTTACAGGTACGGGGCTAGGATAACTTATCCCGTATACCTTTGTCGCGCGCATTTTTGTAATAATACAGCAAAGAGTACTTACCGCTGCATTCCCCATCCAACGCTATAAACCCTTCTATACATTTACAATGCTTTGGGCCATCTTTTGTAATGGGCAGTCCAGGCATAAGAACGCAAGTTGCACCATCTACGCAGTCTTCGTCTTTATCACAAAGATGAAAGGGTGCTGAAAAAAAACAATCTGTTAATATTTCCAGATTTCCACTACACCATTGAAATAAAAATTATTTTTTATTCAATGACTACATTTAAATTCACATAATGAATGAAATCCCTGAATTAGAACCAACCAAAAGTAATAGTCAATCTCAAAACTGTGTCCCGTATATAATTTAGAAGTGCGTAAATTGAACTTATGATCCAAAGATTTCTGTGCAGAAAGCGAAAAATGAAGGGCACGTTCAGAATGAGGGATAGTAAAAACGAAATTGTCCATCGATTTCATATTTTTACCCAACAACGTCAAAACGGTTGCTTCCATGGTTAAGATGTATTTGTCGCGTACAAAATTCTTTCGCCATATTGAAAAATGCCGTCTTGATATTTATCTCTAATATCTTCTAAATGAAATTCTAGACATGTAAAAAAAGAGCATTAGCAACAAAAAAGATATCTTGTCATGTCACACTTCGTCGTCTTTTTACGAAACGGGTAAATGTAAAACGACCACTAGCACTAAAAAAGAATGTCAATTGTCAATGTACCGAAAGCAACAAAGAAACAGCTATGGGATGCTGGACCATTTGTTCTGAGAATGTTCATGTAGTACCTATCAGGATGGTTTATAGATTAGATCTTCCTTCTCTTTCGCAGATAAACCTTGATTTTTGAAGTTACAATCATCCCCTCATCATGCCATCATGAAGTTATGGGTATAGCAGTTGAAATGGTTAAGTGAAATCTGATTTCGTTATTCAATGGTACATCATTCAATTAGGAAGATGCTCAAAGAAGAGTTACAAGTTGCCTTATTTGGAAGCAATTATAAATAAATCTTGATAGGGGAAATGCTTCTTCATATGGTTTAGGGTGGGCTTTCATGTAACTATTCGCATTTTAGAACTTTGCTTAATATCCAACCTACTATGCTCAATTAAAACTAGAAGCATTGGGTCTGGGATACATGTCTTATTTATTTATTTGATTGTTGCGGCCCACTTACCTACTACCCCAACTTGTTTCAATGAAAATAGCATCAGAGGAAACACCCATATCTCTCCTTGAACCACATTCGGTGGTTCATTACAATTTTCAAAAATCATAATGCCGCATAGTTTACAATAATTGTAGCCAGGAACGCTTGTAACGGTACTTTCCGTGGTCCTGAATTAGTTCGGGGATTGGTAAGCTTCAGTATTCAAAAAATAAAGATGTTTATAAAGGCGTGAACCAATAAACTAACAAATTTTTGTTTGGCTGTTGGACAGAAATTTTGTTTTTTAAAAGCCATAAGTGTAAAATATTCACCAAAGGGATAATTCGCTAATAGTTTTAATTGTAAATGTTTTTCTTAAAATAAAAATATCTCCAAAACAGTCAAAGATGGCCATATACCGGGTGTCTCACGATGAAAGAAAAACACGCCAAATTACTAAAACGTAAAAATGTATAACATGATAAGAAAAACAAACACAATAAAATATTTTCGTCTCCTTCAAAAAACCCACTCAAACTATTACGCTACTAAATAACAAACATACATAATAATTTCGCAAGTTTTTAAAATCCAATCCATTTGCCAAAATCTTACTGGAAATGAGTGTCTAAATCAATTCTTAATATTCTTGGGATAATAATAATAATAATATTTATTCGTCATGCTATACCATCTGGTTTACGACATGTCCAGTTCTACATACAAACATAATATAAAATACACAATAAAATTACCGATGGACCAAACAATATAATATGTGACTAACTAAACGTGGAATTAATTGTTGTGCGTTGTTGTATATTGATAAAAGAGATGAAGTGGATTTTTTGACAAAAAAAGAAGGGAAGAATTGAAGAAGTAACTGTTAGAGAATGCTGAAGTACTATGACTGTTTTTTACTAACACCCGTTTAATTTTTCGAATTTTATTCTATACATGACTTTATAGGAGTAGGTATTTGTACTTTTGTCTTTACACATCCAACGATCTTCCTTTTGCACTTTCAAGAAGAACCTTCTAGAATCTAGATGCTCTTTGCACTCATTGTCCCGCACCAAACCAGTGAAGACTCGTTCTTGATTTTCAAAGGGCGACTTAATTTGAAGCCTTTATCTGCAATGTGTTTAATAACTAACGAAGGAAACTTTATTTTGCGCAGAAAGAAGTTTTGCAATGGGCACTTCCAAGGCAGAGACTATTTTTAAGCGCTGGTAAATCACCATTAGTAAACTTCCACCTGCTTTTTGTGGAGTTCTGATTTTTTGAAAGAGCACTGAGCGTAAGATTACTAAGATAGAAATTATTGTAATAATGTAAACAAATATGTCTCTCTAAGCATTGTTCGGTATAATTAATCTCGTATTGACAATTTACTATAATGGATGACCCGGGTAGCAATGCAATAAATAATACAAATATTAATATGCGCAATGAGATTGATAATTTAAGTATAATGAACACAATGCTCTAAACTAAAATATGCACACGACCCATACGCTCACAACATACATACAAAATCACACAGGACGTGCATACAATTAACAATACAATTATGATGTTGATGTATCTTCGGGAGGTTATAATTTTACGATATAGAAATCTAGCTAGTGTTTCCAATTTCGTTGAAGGATTCCAAAATGTGATCAAACGGAAAATTTACTGCCATCCAAATATTGGAAAATTTTAACTGTTCGGCTTTTAATGCATATATTTAAAAATCCTAAAATACGTGAAAAACGGCAATTAATCTAATTAAAATTTACTACGAATCTTACCTCTAAGTAGAGGGCTTTAGACACTAAACTAAATAAACACGTCAAATTCGACTCAAATTTTGAATTATATCAAATACATGTTACAGTCTCCTTCAAAATTATTTTCTTAGCTAAGATAATATCATGAATATTTTACATCAATATAGGATAGGTCATCCCTAGTATTACCCAAAAGTTCAAAATCTTTGGTGTTATCTACTCTTCCATAATAAGCTCCAGAGGGTGGTACATATCGCCCATGGTGAGATCTGCTGGAGAGTAAGCCTTGGGGGAGCGCCGTATTAATGGCCTGTGGTGTTTTTGGCAGTTCGACATGCCATTGGGTTAGTGTAAAAATGTACCTATAGCGCTATCAATAATTCGTTTGAAACGTTGCAGTGTGCAGAATAACGAGGATTATATCACATTTTTTGAACTGAATAATCTGACGCTAATTTGTTAATCCTTTTCCGGCAAATTGGGTACTCTTATCATATAATAAACCAAAAATAATGTTTGGTAAATTCATTCGCCGTAGTGGCTTTTCGCCAGAGTATATTTAGTGTACCAGTCGGACACTACCAAGAGGTATGAGATTCCCTTTTTCGATTGGGAGAATGGTCCAATACGGAATACGCTAACCATTTATGTGTAAGAACCCCTTTTGCATATGTTTCAAGGTGAGCAGTCTCCAAACGGGCGATTACTCACAACGTGTAATAATTCATTATCAGTTATCATTTATAGATGTGAAAGTTTTTGTTATTCGCCACGATAGTGGACGGTACCTACAGAAATTGTTTTAGGTACGTGTTGTTGTTCGAAGGGATCAGTTGTATAAATATTTCATATTGTCTTGTGTAAAGTGCTGGATAAGGTGAGTTTTCTCACTGAGTAATATATTTTTGCTCCATTCTGTCATATGTGCTTTGCTTGCTTCAGCTTCCCTTAGCACATGTTAACCTTTGAGTGACCGTCCTTTGCACACCTTGTTCTTTCACTATCTGTTCAGGTGGAATACCATGTGTATTAGGAGGGTGCTATATGTGTGTTAGGCGCTTTACTCCGCTCACACGTTACCCTGGTTATGACTGGTGATGTCTGCTGACGTCAAAATTTACAACTATGGAATTAGAGAAGTTGCATACATAAGTGCAGAGCGGTATCAATATGGTGCAAGTGAACAAATTGTCTGCTCGGGAGAAACAATAGAGGCAACGCCAGAAATAAGAGTAGTTCAATATGGGACGCCCCGAGGGTCTACGGTCTACCCTTGGTCCGTTCTTCTTATAATATTTACTAATGAACTGTCAATTCTACTCCATGAAACGTTTAAGTTATGCAGACGACACCAATGTGACTGTTGCTTGCAAAAATGATGGTCTAGGTCTAGAGTGATATCTCATAATGAAAACGCTAGAGAACTGAATAATAAATTATTGATAAATGTAGACAAAACAAAAATGTTGTTAATAAAACTCAACAGTTAGTATTACGGGTCTAGTGTTCTTTGTACAGGCTGGACAGTGGACACTCGGAAGTAATCACATTCAACCTACCGCATTGAAAACAAAATTTATTCTTTCTAGCGCGACACGTGTGAAAAGTATGGGTGGACAGTTTACAGTTCCAGTACTTGGAATTTGATACATCGGGCTTCGCGTAATTATTATTTCCATATTTTTCCCTGTTACGGTATGGTTTCTTAATTTCGGTACATGTGCCTAGCTCTGGTTCTAAGAAAAATGAACTAAGTAACTCAAGTTTAAGCTCCCAATGCCTTCATTTTTAAAAGTTAAACATTTTCGAACTTATCACAAAACTGACAATTTGTTTAGTGAATGAATTTCAGTGAGAGAGCAAACTGCAATGACTTTTTGATGGCGGTCTTGATAAGCGACTAAATAGGGTCACTATAACAGCGGTGTCGAATATTGTCATTTTGTATACCTACTTTAAGTATGCATTTTGGCACTTGTGCTCTGGAAAGGCATTTTCCTTCTCAACACCTTGCTATTAAAGTCGGTCGGATAAGTTTTCCTGAGGTTGTCTTTGGCTTAGCATAGAATATATGTGCATTGACAAGTCAAGATTTAAACGGATATACTTAATAATCGAGAATCAATTTAATGTTCCATGTGGACTCCTTACACTTCATCAAGCAACGAAATAATGGCATCCGACGTACATAAATTTTTTCTGAATCCACACTGGCAATCCGCTAAAGTGTTGATAGAGTCTTGGGTTTTCGCTGAA